CCTGGCGTGCTGCAGTCCACGGGGTCGCAAAGAGTCACGACCTAGCAACTGAACGACAGCGACAGCAGCACTGACCTTAAGTGTACAGCTTCATTTTTTTTTTTTAATGTGTGTGTACATCCAAGTAGCCATTACTCAGATCAAAGTATAGAACATTTCTAGAATCCCATAAGAACCCATTCCCCATCTACCCTCCTCCATCGCCAGAGGTGACCACACCTCTGACTTATCTCATCGTTGACTGTTTAAGACAGTGGTTTTCAAAGTGTGGTCTGTGGAATTCTGGGAGTCCCCAGGACCTTTCATGGGCCTACAAGGTCAAAACTATTTTTATAAGGCATTTCTTACCTTTTTCACCTTAGTGACATTGGCATAGTGGGTAAAACTGCTGTTGCTTTAGGACTAATGAAAATACTGGTACAAAATGTACTAGTAGCCATTATATTCCTCAGCATCATGCACTCACATTTTTTTTTAAAGGGCAGTTTCATGTAAGAATATCTTCAATGTATTAGAAAGTTATTAATTTTATTGAAGTTCAATCCTTGAGTGTATGTAATTTTTAGTATTGTGTGACAAATGTTTTTTTGTGTGTGGGATTACACAAACACTTTTGCTGCATACTAAATATATACCTGGTGGCTCAGATGGTAAGGCGTCTGCTTACAATGCAGGAGACCTGGGTTCGATCCCTGGGTTGGGAAGATCCGGAGAAGGAAATGGCAACCCACTCCAGTGCTCGTGCCTGGAAAATCCCATGGATGGAGGAGCCTGGTAGGCTACAGTCTATAGGGTCGTAAAGAGTCGGACTTAGCTGAGCAACTTCACTTCAAAGTAGTACATGATTGTCTTGAGGAAAAGCACTTGTGAAGCTGATTGAATTCTGAGGTGAATTAGTCTTCCCCCCCACCCCACCGAACATTTTACTTAAAAAACTGACTGGCACACTGGTTATTTAGACTTGAGTGTTGGACAGATGTGTTCTTGAAAATTAATAAACTGAGCCTTTCATTAGAAGAAAAATAATTTGGCTGCCTTCTATTAAGGTATGCCAGTGATTACATTTGAGCTTTTAAGCAAGAATTAGACTTTTGAAAAACTTACATCATCCACAGTGAGCTTAGTAGCTTTCCAATTTGATTTTCCTGATATCAGTTATTAATAAATGTGATTTTTAAAAAATATTGTATAATGAAATGTGTCAGTATTTAGAATATCAGCACGATTCAGTAAATCAGTATTTTCCAAAAACCAATGCATTTTATTATAAAACCATGCATGGGTGAAAGATCCATTCAAAGTTCAAGATGGACAAATTGATTTTCATGTAATGGAGTAAGAAAAGGTCATGATATGGTTCAGATTCCGTGTTACAGCCAAAGAACCTTTCTTTTCCAACTATCTATGTGAAGGTTGATATGTATGTTTGAAGCAGATATGAGAGTCTAGCTGCCTTCTCTTGTCAGACATTAAAGAGATTTGCAAAAGTGTAAAACAGATGCCACTCCTTAAATTTTTTGGCAGATAGTTATTTTTCATAAAATGTTATGTTAACATGTAATGGGTTTATTATTATTTTCAAGTAAATTTTTAAAATTTGGAAGTCGGTTTCTAATATGTAGCTATTAATGGATTTGTTGTTCAGTTGCTCATTTGTGTCTGACTCTTTGAGACCCCGTGGACTGCAGCACACCGGGCTTCCCTGTCCTTCACCATCACCCGGAGCTTGCTCAAACTCATGTCTAAGTCAGTGATACCATCCAACCACCTCATCCTCTCTCACCTCCTCCTCCTCCTGCCCTCAGTCTTTCCCAGCATCAGGGTCTTTTCTAAGGGATATAACCCACATAATCAAAAGCTCTTTGAGGTACTCAGTAAGAGTCCTGAGACCAAAATGGTTAAGAAATGCTAGTTTAAGGCATTAACTCTAAAAAAAAATTTTTTTTTGGACTATAGTTGATTTACAGTGTTGTATCAGTTGTATAGTAAAGTGACTCAGTTATTGCATATACATATATCCACTCTTTTTTAGATCCTTTTCCCATAAAGAGTATTATAGAGTATTGCATAGAGTTCCCTAAGCTTTGCAGCAAGTCCTTGTTATCTATTTTATATGTAATAGTATGTATATTTGGAGAAGGAAGTGGCAACCCACTCCAGTATTCTTGCCTGGAGAATTCCATGGACAAAGAGCCTGGCAGGCTACAGTCCATAGTGTCGCAAAGAGTCAGACACGACTGAGCAACTAAGACACACACACAGTGTGTATGTTTAAGTCTTCCAGTTCACAACCCACCAAGCCCCCTGATAACCATAAGTGTATTTTCTACATCTGTAACTCTATTTCTATTTTGTAAATAAGTTCATTTGTAGCCCTTTTTTAGATTCCACATATAAGCAGTGTCATATGATATTTGTCTTTTTTTGATTTCACTCAATATAACAGTCTCTGGATCCATTCATGTTGCTGCAAACAGCATTATTTCATTCTTTTTATGGCTGAGTGATATTCTATTGAATATATAAGAATGAACTCTTGACTGTAATAAAGAGTTATTGTAATCTTAAGTGAGTGAAAAAAAGCACTTCATGGAGGAGTTGGGAAGTGAATTCATTCTAGAATGAGGATTGGGATGCTATGGTGAAGAGAATTTTGGAGGGATATGGCATGTGTTTAAGGCTTTGATTCTCTCAGAGGTTCAAGAGGGAGGGAACAGATGTATACCCATGGCTGATTCATGTTGATGTATGGCAGAAACCAACACCATATTGTAAAGCAATTATCCTTCAATTAAAAATAAATAAATTTTTTTAAATTAATCAAAAAAGTAATGCACAGTCATTATGGAGGGTTTGTAAGGCTAGAATAGTGTACATTAGAAAAGAAGTCTTTTGTATTTTGGCCTCAACTGCTGGAAATAACTGATATTAATTTGATTTGTTAATTTTTGTTTATTTGCTCTGGTGTGCAGCTTGCAGAAACTTAGTTCTGTACCCTCGGCAGTGAAATCTCAGTGTCTTAACCACTGGACCACCAGGGAATTCCCATACTGATTGCTTATTGTACTCAAAGGCAAGGAAATTAAAAGGACACAGGAGTCAGCTTGAAAGAACTACTGATGATGACTTTGATCACTTAGTGAAAGTGGGAGATGCCAGACTTACATTGTGAAGTTACTCTTTTTCTCTTTGTAATTAGTATTTTAGCAGGAAAATACTTTAAACCTACATAAACACCCCATTCCTTATAAGACTTTAAGTCCATTTATTAAAATGGGTTCAGAATATCCTGTTTTGTTCAATGGTTTAAAGTCTGTTACTGTCATCATTTTGATTCTAACATTGTCTCAGGTTTGGCCAGTGAGAGCTCTTTCAAATTGGCTTCTGTGTCCTATTAACTTGCTTGTTTTCTGTCACAACAAGCAGTCAGTAATTTAACCTAATCTACAAATAACCATTTTAGTACTTTTTTCTTTTTGATGATATTCTTGAGTGTTTTGTTCTTGAATTTTACCTGTGTATAACATATTTCCATAGTTTTTGACTAAGGCACTGACTGGACTTTTAAAAATCGGTTAACCTCAAAAAAAAAAAAAAATCGGTTAACCTCAAAAATACCACTTACTTTGGAAAAAAACTGTGTTCTCTATATTTGCTTCATCAGTCTTCTGTTACGCATCAACTCTACAAAAGTGACCCTAAAGTAAAAGAGGCCTTTTTCACAAGGGTCTCTCTTTCTCTCTGCCAAATTGATAGAATTTTTAGAACATTAGGTTAATATATTTATTTCTTCATACTTTATGTTTCTGTTCATTATTAATTAGGTTACAATAAAAATATAATCTAACAATATAAAAGAAGAAAAATTTATTACCCTTGCAACTATGTTCAGAGGTTATTGTATATAAAACATTGTAATGCTGTTACTTGAACAGTACCATAAACTTGAAGTGCTTATTTTTGTTAAGATAAAACAAAATGGCTGTCTTTCCAAAATATTTGGAAAAATATTTCCAAAGTATTTTTCCTGTGCATTCCATTAATCATTTAGTAATACCAAAATCTTTTAGTTTTAAAATATCTAAAAACTTATGGCTTGCATATTTTAGCTAATTGAGTCTACCTAGTGTATCATATTAGCTAAAAAAGGCAATTAGATACTTTTTATCTATGTCCTTTTTTGTAATTTCAGTATTACTTATTCAGGGAGTGGAAGCACCAGTTACTATAATGATGGGAGTAGTAATAACAATGCAGTAATCTTTTAGTTTTACTGAATATTCACTATTTCATTGAATCTAATGCCATTAGTTAATGATGCATATTTTAAGAATTAATTTATTTTAAGGATGCATATTTTGAATGTACTGTTTATTTTTTTTTCTTGTCTTTTTTCTTTTTTTTTCATTTATTTTTATTAGTTGGAGGCTAGTTACTTTACAGTATTGTAGTGGTTTTTGTCATACATTGACGTGAATCAGCCATGGATTTACATGTATTGAATGTACTGTTTAACACACTTAAAAATCACGTAGGTTCTTCTAACCATCCTGCTTGCTGTGACTGTGTTTTGATCTTTGGTTCTTCCTGTGCGGTGCTATGCTTTCCTCAGTCACTAAGTTGTGTCTGACTCTTTGTGAGCCCATGGACTGTAACCAGCCAGGCTCCTCTGTTCATGGGATTTCCCAGGCAGGAATACTGGAGTGGGTTGCCATTTCCTCCTCCAGGTTATCTTCCTAACCTAAGGATTAAACCTGCATCTCCTGCATTGGCAGGTGGATTCTTAACCAAGGTGGATTCTTCACCACCGAACCACCTTGGAAGCCCTGATTCTTCCTGGTGCCCCTAAAAACGATGCAAAATACTATTACCTTCTTTAAAATACTTGTAATTTCTACCTCATATGTACCAAATGTATGATTTACTTGTAATATCTTATATAAGGTGAATTTTGGGGAAAATAAATATTCAAATTAGCTTCAATTTAATGTTTTTCACAGGTGCTGGAGAAAATTTGGAGAATACAATGGCAGCCTTTCAACAGTAAGTACATAAAAAGGCATTCCTTTACAGTTTATCATTAAAGTGAAGATTCACAGAGTAAGGATCGTATGCAGGTAGCATCTGCTTGTGACAGTTGTTTCTGTTTTATTAAAATCTCCTTTTTTTTATTTAGTTAGTCTGAAGTGTTCCAACAAGTGTTTGTCTTCTGCTTAACTGAAAATCTAGATTTGAGTTTTGGCACTACAGTGCCAGAGCTGAAAGAAGACGTTTGTAACAAGGCACATACTGTGCATAATGCTAATTAGTCTCAGAGAGAAGGAGAAAAGGAAAGAAAAACACTGTTACATTGGCTCTTGTTTATGTGTAGGATTATGTGTCTACTCAGTAATTCTTCCACAGTCCTGAACCTCTTATCTGGTCTTTCTTCTTGGAAGCCTTAAGACTAATTGATCTTATTTTTTTTAAAAAAGAAGGTAAATTATTTTTTCCAGTGTTTGAATCATTCATATTTCCCACGGAGGTCTTTTAGAGCACCTCACAGAGAAGCAGCAGGAGAGACAAGAACAAAAGCTGATTGCTACCTTGTTCTTGGTCTTAAAGTAAATGCTTATCATCAGCCTGTGGTAATGCTGAGAACACTGTTTTCTTTTCCCTGAAAAATAAGACAGGAAACATGGTAAGTTAACCCCCATGAAAAACATTACTATCCATATTTACTAAGGAAAATATTTTCTTATATAATTTTTAACCATTTTTATGTACATAATTGGGGCTAATAAATCAGGCTAACTTGGCTTAAGGTTTAGTTCTATTTCTCATCATTCAAAGACACTTGAGAGAGTGTTTTTCATATTATCAGGTCCCAAGGTACTGCTTTTCCATAGTCATTTGGTCTAAATCCTATCCTCCTATATTCGTCATTGCTTATTCTTCCTGGTCTAAAACATGATGCCTTTTGACTGTAATCTCAAGTCTCTTACAGCTCTAAAATGCAAATTCTTTCCTCCTGTCACTGATGGTGAAGCAGAATAATGTAAATTACTTTATCTTCTCTACTGAGATTATGTAGCTAGCTCCTATAACAAAAAATATATTTAATTTTATGTGAACAGTTTTCACTGTGATTCACACACACACATATACACACCCACACACACCTACATTGACTATCATTTATCAGATATTTTTTGTCTGTGACGTAGTGATACATTTTACTTGGGGAAAAACTCCTCATGACTGAATGGTTTTAGCATTCTCTATGTAAAAGTATGTTATTTTGTAAGTTTTTCTCCATATTTTTTTGCTAAATCTTTGCCAGCCACTCTTATTTATGAAATTAAGACACTGAGTTGTATAATAAACTATTTCTAAGGATGATGATGCATTTGTATAGAACATTATTTCTAAGGATGGTACCTAAATATTTTTTTATCTTTGAAGATTTTGATTCCCTGAAAAATGTTTTGATATTCAAAAAATATCTAATTTAGATGATTTTTACCTGCTGGATACATTTCATTTCCTGTCTTCAGGCAGTTTGTTTTTATATTGTTTTGTTCAAGCAGTAACTATTGAAAAGTACCACAGCCTTCTCTATCATGTGGTAGCTTTCTATAACGTTAGTTTTTTGGAGGTTTTTCTGGTACTTTAAAAGAAGAAAGTACCTCTTCCATATATTAAGGCTGTTTAACTCTTCCGTTGTATGGCTGTTTGTTAACTGACTTTGGAATTTATGTAAAACCTAAACCAAATAGGCTTTATTTTAAAAAAAAATATTTTTGATGGTGGTGGTGGTAGTAATGATTTGGGTTTTTGTTTCATTTTGTCTTATGCATCAGTATACTGTCCATAAGTACTTTTATTAGTGTACTTTTATTTATAAATATTTATGTAACCGCTAGGACACTTAGAAAGGTTTTTTTAAATATACCTACTTCATGAACAACAAGAAAAAACTGTTTACGCATACTATTTTCAAAGTATTATATACTAAAAAGATAAACAGTTATACTCCATAATTGGCAAAAGACAGACACTGTGCTTAAGTATGGTTTATCCTTGATAGGTTAAGTAGTTGAAGAAGAAATAGTGAAAATACAATGAGCAGCTAAGACTTAGATCTTATTTGTTACATGTATTTAAATCTTACTTATATATTGATATCTGTGTATATTGAAAAAGCATGTCTATTATGACATGGAGGTAAAGATGATATTAAAGAAAGTATAAATAGTTGGTATGGGAAGCCTCGTTAAAATTAATCAGAAAATTGAAAAGATATCAGGACTGGAACAGCTATCATTTGATGGAGAGGAAGAAGCTCCTTTTAAAGATGTGAAATGTTTGAGGTTAAAACGTGAGATTATGTGGACAGGCTACATCTAGAAAATTGAAAGGACCTTAAGAGTATATGAAAAATTAATTCATTATGTATTTATTATATTATAGTAGGGCTAAAGTAATTAGTACTGACAAAGAGAAATAATTATATTTCACAGTTTATAAAAAGTTATTTAATCTGGCTTGTAAAATAATTTGATGGACTTCCCTGGTGGTCCACTGGTTAAGAATCTGCCCGCCAATGCAGGGGACACAGATTCCATCCCCGGTTCAGGAAGATTCCACGTGCCACAGGGCAACTAAGCCCACATGCCGTAACTACTGAGCCCACTTGCCACAGCTAGTGAAAGCCCACATGCAGCAGTGAAGACCCAGTGCAGCCAAAAAATACGTAAATAAATAAATTTTTAAAATGATTTTACAGACACCTTAAGTTATGAATTGGAGAAGGCAATGGCAACCCACTCCAGTATCCTTGCCTGGAAAATTCCATGGATGGAGGAGCCTGGCAGGCTACAGTCCATGGGGTCACAAAGAGTCAGACACAACTGAGCGACTTCATTTTCTTTCTTTCTTTCAGTTATGAATATGGCTCTTCTGGGATTCTTTGAGAATAAGAATTTTCCTTATTGATCTCAGTCCCTAAATCTGGCTCTGGTAGTAACAGGCTCTCACTAGTCAGTTACTGAAAGGTATATGGAATGGAGCACTCAGGACCAAAGCAGACTGTTAACAGAAGGTAGAGGCAGAACCCCATTTATAATAAGCATGGAACCAAAAACTAGAAAATTGTACTACAAAGATAGACACACACACTCACACGCAAAGAGCCAATAAACCCTGAGTATGTAAAGTGTGGTTCTTAAGAGCTAATAAAACTAGGTTATTAAACCAGGCTGCTCTTGTGAGTACCCACAGGACAGCTTGATCCCAGTGGTATTAATATGAATGATAAAAGGAAGAAGCAGATTGTATTAGCAATTGCTGGAAGCGTAAGTTGGCAGACAATCAAAGTAATTAATCGGTGACCTGATTCTCATGATAAAATTTTTTAGAATGTCTAATTAATACAATACTAATTATCTCATCTCTGAAGTGGGAATAATGTAACCTTAATGTTTTGAGGAATACATGAGATTGAAATAAATTCTTTCACATAAAGTCTGTTGTAAGTTTTGATGCCTTGTTTATGTGGAGTTTGAAGTAATTTCACTTCTTTTAGAGCTAGAGTTTTTCTTTTCTTTTTCCAGAAATATTGAAATCTTGCCCTCCATAACTTTTTTCTGGTTTGTCATCAGCTTATCAGAAATTCAGCTATAAAATGTCTGGTGTTTCAGTGGAAGTAGATACATTTTGTTATTTGTAGGAAAGTTTGAAGGCTAAAGTGATAAAAAAAAAAAAAGTTTTCTTTTCTCGCTGTGTGCCAGCTATTTGTGTATCAAATTTGAGATGACTTTATTAGAATAATTTACACATTGTCCTAGATACACTTACTATTGTTCTAAATTTTTGATTATTAGCTTCTTAATAAGAGGTAAGCATACAATAAATAAAAAATATTTTTTGTATAATTCCTAAACATTTCTAAAAACAGCCAACATTTCAGCTAAAGGTAAACTTCATACTTAGAAAGATTTCTTAGGTAATATGTATAGGTATTTTTAAATACAGGGAAATATATATTTAAATACAGGAAAATACAGATAACCCCTGCTTTTACCCTGGCAGGCAGATTCCCATCCACTGCACCACCAGGGAAGTCCCCTTTTATTGTTATTTTTTTTTTCCCCTTTTATTCTTAAAATAAAAGCTAAAAGCTATACACAGTATAACAATATTTAAGGAAAATTTAAAATATAGAAGAATACTTTTACCAACCTAAAACCTATTTTTGCCTATTTTTAGATTTAATTTTACACATCTGTGGTTCTAGCAAACACACAATTTCAAACAGTCTTTTTCAAAGGTGGATGTTCTTTAGAAGAGGACACATACGGTTCACAGTTATTTACTGTCTTAGTAAGAATTATTTTAATGAGCCAGGTTTGTTTTTCTCTTAACAGCTGGTGATAATCAGAGCACTGAAAGGGAAGATTATTTAAGAAATAGGGGAGCAGTGTGAGACTTTGGCACACGGCAGCACGTGGCCATTGGTTCTTTTGGAGTGGGATGCTGATGGGGTTGGATCATCAGAGGTAGATCAAGTAAGACAATTCTCAAGTAGTCAGCTCCAAAGATAAATTTTGTCAGGCATATAAAGTGCATACATACACACATACACACTTTATTTTGCATCAGTGGGATCCTACCATGCCTACCTTTTTTTCATGTAGATATCCACAATGCCATTCCATTTGAGTGCTTTGATTCATTGATTCTTTGATGTATGATGTTCACTAGGGCTTCCCAGGTGGCTCTGTGATAAAGAATCCACCTGACAGTGCAGGAGATGCAAGAGACACGGGTTTGATCCCTGGGTCAGGAAGATTTCCCTGGACAAGGAAATGGCAATTCACTTCAGTATTCTTGTCTGGGAAATCCCATGGACAGAGGAGCCTGGCAGGCTACAGCCCATAGGGTTGCAGAAAGAGCTGGACATGACTTAGCGACTAAACAATTCACTGTGACTTTGTTTTTTTTTTTTTTTTAATGAACTATTTTAATGGAAAGTGAAAGTGAAATCGCTCAGTTGTGTCCAA